GGGGGAGGGGAGGGGGAGGATTGATGCGTTCATCCTGATTTGGCCAGGGCAGATCAAAGTCAGCTATGGGGAGGCCACCTCGTGGAGGGCTTGAGTGACCCCATGCAAGGTGCAGAGTGTGCCCTGTTGACAGGAGGACACTGGGCAGAGTTTTTATACAAGGTGGGGAGGCAGGATCCCGGATGCATGTTTTAGGAAGAATAACTCCCAGGTTGAATTTGGAAATAGAAAGGCAGTTAAATGGCCACTTCGTGATGTTCCAGATATGTAAGAGTTAAGGTGAAGGTGGGAAGGAAGAGTGAAAGAACTTGGAGCTGCAGGTGTGGGTGGAGAGAGAGGCCCCCGGCTGCCTGGTCAGCTCTGGGACCTGCTTGGGATCGGGGGCGAGGGTGCTGGTGGGTGGGTTTGGACCGTCAGGCTGGACACCTGATAGGAACTGTGCGGCAGCTTGTTATAAAGCGAGGGGGTCTTCTGGGCTGGAGGCACAGGACTGAGTGGACAGTAAGTGGTAACTGTGTCAGTCAGTCCCCTCCACCCCACTGCGGGAAGTGGAGGGAGGATTCTAAGGAGAATGTGAGGAAGAGGCTGTTTATAGCGCAGGGTTAAAGGGGCCTGTAAGGGCACTGGATGAGCAGCAGCAAACTGCTGTCCCACCCCTGGGAGGAAGGGGCAGGGGAGGAGTTGGCGTCACTGGGCGGCTGGGGCTGTGACTGTGGACGGAAGCACCACTGCCGAGAAGTGCCCGGCCTTTCTCTGCTCTCGCCCTCTGACCTCCCATCAGCCAAACCCAGGCGGAAGCCAGCAGGAGGGGGGCTCTGGTTGCAGAAAAGGGCAGAGAGTGGGGGCTGGTGGGGAGCGTGGAAGGGGGACTGACCAGCACGGGAAAGTGGGTGTGTCTTCCACTTAGATCTCGTTCATGTCTTCTCTGATGGTCTCTGCTTGTCAAATGTGCTTCTATGCCCACAGCAGCCTGTACAGGGCTGACACTTGGTCGGTGCTTTGTGGGGCTTCATGGGAGGAAGTAGGTGTCCCACTTTTTGGGACTGCCCCATCCACCCCGAGCCCCCCAGAGCTCCCAGCCTCTCCCAGAATCAGAGGAGCATTGAGTCAAGTTTGAATGACCTCAGGATGCCATCTCCACCAGCCCTCTGCTGTTCAGCCCTGAGTCAGGGACCACAAACCAGATCAGGGGCAGGTGGGCAGGGTCCAGGAGCAAAGGGACTGGAAGAGGATGGAGGGGAAATGGATGTACATGCCAGGCCTGGAGGGGACTGCCAGGGCTCAGCTCCCACTGACTCGGGTCTGTTCTCATGGCAATGAAGAGGCCTTTCCATAGAACGTCTCAGGAGAAGGTGTGGATCTAGATTTTGATGTGCTGTATCCGTTGGCAGTTATTTGGCATTTTCCAAGTACGCACCACGCGCTGAAGGAAACGTGACCGGAAGTCAGATGATGCAGGCCTTGGGGTGTCTGCTTTTGCCTCCTGTCCTTCCAGCCCCTCCGACTCCTCCATCTAGCACTTTCGGCCCCTCATTGCAGGAAGACCTGCTTTGAGTATGACCAGCCACGGGAGGCCCTCATGCCCAGCCCGGGGGGCTCCAAGGATGGGGGCCAAGGCTCAGGATGAGGGGGGCATGTTGGCCTCACCCGCAGTGTGACCTCTCCAGGTCTGCCTCTTTGGGAACTCAGAGGTATCTCTACGGGATCACCTGCGGGCAGGGGCCTCTGAGGAGGAGTTGCTGCGCATCATTGGGGCTGCCGTGGGCAGGAAGAAGCGGCAGCATGCGGGTAAGGGGCCGGGGAGGCCAGGCTGGGTGGTGAGTGGGCCGTTGTCAGCAGGAGGGAGGTCTGTGGTGAGCCAGTGGCACTCAGTGTGGTCCGTGCTCTCCATCACCTCTGCTGGTCCTCTAGACTTGGGGTGCGGTGATGCTTCTCCTTCCCAGGGGAAGAGCAGAGCCTGCACAGGACGGGGGACCCCACATTCTCTCGGGCTGTTTCATTGGGTGGTTGAGAAAGAGAGGGGTCATTGCCCCTCTCTCATCCCTGACAGGGAGGGCAGGGTCCTGGCATCCAAAAACTGTCATGGGCTCCATCATGGGCGACCTTGCAGTGTACGGCGGGGGTTTTTGTCGGGCTGCGGTAGGTGACTGTGTGTCCGCGGGGCTGTCATACCTCTGTGTCCCTCGTTCGTTTCAGTGAAATCTTTCCCCGCCCTCTTTCTCTCCCCGCTTCCCTGCCCTCCTCTCCCCACCCATCCTTCCCTCGCCCCAGGCATGTTCAGTATTTCCCAGATGAAGAACCGGCCCATGATCCTCATCGGTGGGTGACCCATCAGTACGTAACCACTCACCCTTGTCGGGGGGGATCCCGCGGGGTGGGGCCCCTGCCGTAGGCAGCCCCCACCCTGATCCTGCACTTCATCCTGAGGTTCTCATCCTTCACCTTTTCCTACCCCTCTAAGCCTTTACTGCGGCTTTTCTTCCCTTCCCTGGCTCCGTCTTACTGTACATGCCGCAGAAATCATCGTTCTGTCTCACCAGAAATCGGGTCGGGGGGTCCTCCAGGTTTATGATCGCTATGTTAGTTGTCCCCTGAAAATGGAGCTTCTGGGTAAGACAGCGATCTTGTCCTCGGCTTTAGAATCTCCCAGCTCGGATACAGTCACAGGCATCCCTTCCCTTCTGTCCTGTGGGTCAATTCACGTGCGTGTCCGGACCATTAGTGGCCATTGGTCCTTGTGTTGTTACGCTTCTGTGTGGGCAGTGCTTAGGCAGCAAGCTAAGAGTGCTACTCAGCTTTCTAGGGAGGACACAACCAGGATCTCAGCTGTCTAATTCCTTAACTCCCGGGAACTTATGTGCCCAGGGCGTCTCTTATGTGCATAGGATGCTTCAAACAGAAACACCTTTTTATTGAGCCACATGTGGTCTCTAACCCTGGGGAACTAGCTGGTCCACGCGGAGCTTTGGGGATGCTGTTATCCCTCTGGTGCATGCCCAGGCTAGAGCAGGGGAGGCCTCACACCCTTGGCCACAGCCAGATCTGGGCCCCTGAATTGTGCCCTAAGCAAGAGAAAGCAGTGACAACAACCAGGGGAAGGGATTCTTTCCTCCAGCACTTGGAGCAGAGTGAGCCCTGAGGCATGTGGGCTGGAGTGGGCCAGACACAGCCCAGGGACCACACCAGCCACCCAGAGAAGGAAGGGCGGCTCACCACAGCATGCCATCGGGAAGAAAACTGTATCACCTCTCTTCTGCCGTCACCTCCACCATCCTCATCCTCTCGTGTTGGGCCTTGACCCATGCTGACACGCCTTGATGGCAAGGAGTGGGGGATGCCTTGATAATTGTACCTCTGACACTGACAAGGTAGGGGGGCCAGAGCATGAGGGAAAGCTAGAAGTTGGGAGGCCTAATTGCTTCAGAAGGAAGAATAATACTCTCAAGGATATAGAGTAACTAAAGTGGTCTGATCTCTATAAAACCAAGAGTTGCCTAGAACAGGGCCTCTTAGACTTTCACGTGCCTGTGAATCCCTTAGGGATCTTGTTATTTCAGATTCGGATTCGGGAGGCCCGGGCTGCATCTCTTTCAAGGGTCCTCACATGGTGCTGGTGCTGGCGGTCCCTGGACCACCCTTTGAGTAACAAGAGCCTACAAGGTCCCCGAGGCCCCTGGGACCATTCAGATCATCCTGTTGCTTTGTGTATGCTTCTGATCTGCTTGAGATGTTGTTTAAATAGATTAAATATTTACCTTAGTATGTTGTCTATAAACTGTATGATTTCTGTTAGCCCTTCCCGGAGAATGTGAAGATGAGAGTAACTAATTGGTAATTCAGGCTGAGGCCTCGCTATCCTTTTAAGAAAATGAAGGGACAGAGCGGTCATCTGATCGAGGCTTCAGTCTTCAGACCTTAGGTGTTTCTTAAGAGGACTTGGGCAACAGGAAAGTTGTGAGGAGGGGAGCCCAGGTGGGAGCACCCACAGACCCCACTGCAGGGCAGGCAGAGCCTGCGGGACCCTGGCCCTGTGTACCTCCTGCTGAGGCGGGCTGCACGCATTTATTCCGGGGGCCCCTCTCTGTGTATTGTCGCTTTTCTCTCTCTCCTCGCTGTGGTCTTTGCCCCTCATTCCGCTTTCCCCAGTGTGAAAGGGAGAACTCGGGGTTTGGTGGGGAGAGGCTTGGGGAGGGAGGTGGGGAAAGACCTGCCTTTTGGACTGAGCCTTCCTTCTCTTTCCTTTTCCTTCCAGAGTTATTTTTGATGTGCCACGATTCCCCACCAGCCATTCCAAGCATCTCCTTCAGGGACTCCCTCCATGTTCAGGGTCTGAGACACAGAGTGAGTTTCTCCAGCCAGATGGTGACTTTGTGGAAAGGGGGCTGGCTCCCCCAGATCCCTCTCCTCGCCCAGCGGTGGCTGGGGTCTGGCCTCCCTCAGAGACATTACGGTTCCCACCTCGACTCAGATGCCAACCCAAAGTGCCTTAGCCCAGAGCCCCGGGCTGCTGCCACCCTGTCAGGACCTCTGCCCACCTCAGACCAACTGACCCACGTGGACAGGGAAGGACAGGTGGCTATGGTGGACGTGGGTGGGAAGCCAGACACAGAGCGGGTGGCCGTGGCCTCAGCCGTGGTCCTCCTGGGGCCTGGGGCCTACAAGCTCGTCCAGGAGAACCAGCTAAAGAAGGGAGACGCCCTGGTGGTGGCCCAGCTGGCAGGCGTCCAGGCGGCCAAGCTGACCAGCCAGCTGATCCCCCTGTGCCACCACGTGGCCCTGAGCCACGTCCAGGTGCAGCTGGAGCTGGACAGCACGCGCCACGCCGTGGTGGTCCGGGCATCTTGCCGGGCTCGGGGCCCCACTGGGGTGGAGATGGAGGCCCTGACCTCCGCTGCCGTGGCCGCCCTCGCCCTGTATGACATGTGCAAGGCTGTCAGCAGGGACATCGTGTTGGCGGAGATCAAGCTCGTCAGCAAGACCGGGGGTCAGCGGGGGGACTTCCATCGGACGTAGAGCTCCTGCCCCCTCTCACCCCTGGCCCAGCGAGGTCAAGAGATGGGATGCGATTTCAGCCGAGGGAAAGATGTCAAGTTCCTTTCACCCCGTCACCAGTTACCTTCAACCGGTAGGAACCCCAGGTCAGCCCACCCCTCTACTGCTCGATGACCTACACTGACCCGCGAGGTTTCCTTTCTTCCGAGAGGAGACCAGCAGGCCCGTCAGCCTTCCTGGACCCTAACTAAGGTCGTGGGAGGGGGCTGGCCGCAGCGAGCAAGGCTAGATAACCCCCAAATCACACTGAGTGACTTGTGGACTCTCTCCGACAGTTGAGCCCATAACCTCCCCTCCTCTCTTGGGTTTTCTCTTCTCCTTCCTTCCCCGGGAGGGAACCAAGGGCTCCTAAGCAGGAGCCTCATGGGCCACAGCCCTGAGGCCTCCTGACCAAGCACACCTCCCACACCTGCCCCGCGCACGGCCTTTCCACCTGCACCCCTTCGTCCTGGGACACACCAGGGGGGGAGGAGCGATGGAGCTGGCCTTCACCCACACGGTGCACCAAATAAAGCCACGATGCCCATTTTGGGGATGCAAGAATGAGGACTGTGTCTGTGCCGAGGGCACCGAGCCGCTGTGATGGCAGGCCCGCCCCTCAACCCAACACCCCCCGGGGAAGAGGAGCAGGAGGGACGCTGGAAAAGCAAAGGGGCGTGTTCTCTGTGCACCCCGCCTTCCCTGGGGGAGAAGGCAGGAGTGGAGAGGGAGGCCCAGAGATGCAGCACCTCCAGTAGCACTGTCGGGTAGGGGTGTCCGAAGCCCATCCCGTCGCCGGCTGGTAGAGGTCACGGGATGCAAGTAGAGGCCCCTGGTTTTCACATCCCCAAACGCTGGACGCGCTTGCTGGGTTCTCTCAATGTGGGTAGGTGTCTAGTTCTAGCCTCAGTCCCCCCGCCCCCCACTCCCCCGGGCCCCCGCCTGCCTTTTCTCTGGCCCTGCACCCAGGTGTGCTGGCAAATGTTTAACAACTAGCTCTTGGAAAAGAAAAAAGGCCAATTTCCATGGTCTAAGTCCTCCCACCTTGGCCGATTTCAAGCTACCGTACGACCGACGTGAACTGGCTTGCGGAATTCCTGAGGATGTCACAGTCGGGGCTCGCAGAGCTGGTAGGATCCGCTTCCCACACACCGTGGGCTATGCCGCTTCCCCAGCACGCCTCACGTCCCAGCGTGGGAAGGAGGCACAAGTTTCGAGGCAGGTTAGGTAGGGGTGGCACGGATTTAATAGTTTTTAGTATTACAATATATTCTTATAAAAAAGGTGCAGGCGAAAAGGACGCTGCAGATTTTGTACATTAGCCTCATTTGTCATCTGAAACAGCTGGTGAGAACAGCCTTGGCGTGGAGGTGGTAGAGG